TTTTTCCTTTCCCTCCCTGTCCCCGCCTCCCTCATGAGCCCTTGATAGTTTATAAATTGTTATTTTGTCATATCTTGCCCTGTCCGATAGTAGTCTTTTGAGCCGCGAATCCGGCTTGCGCCTGCGCAGGAGACGGTAAAAGGGACTGGCTTTCGCTGCCGCGGAGCGGAGTCAGATGGGTTGGTCCCTGGATGTCACGTGGACCGTCCCTTTCACTTCTGGTCTCCGGACTTCTACTGCATCACCGCAACTTCCTGGGTCTGGGACTGCCAAGACTCCGACCCCCGTTGGTGGGTGGCCATGCCGGGTGACCGGAGGCTTGGAAGGGACGTGCTGCCGGACCTTGCGCCAGCCGCACATCGCCTGTGTGGCCAGGCGTACGGTGCCGTAGGACGCTGGACCTGACGCCCCTCCCCGGGTCTCGTTCACCCCGCAACCCAAGCCGGGTCTCTGTGCTCCTCACTCCACAGCTCCCAGGTCTCCAGTGTCTGTCCGGGCCCCGGGGCACTGAAGTTATCTTTTAGAAGTCTCCTGCCCAGGCAAACATTGGGTTGTTCACTATGAAAATTTCTGGAAAGTCCAGTAGCTTTTCCATGGAAAACTACATCCAAGATCATTTAAACCCATTGCCTCCAATCCTTCCCCTCTCTCCATCGGCCCTTAACAACCCCCTAAGCAAGCCCCTCTGTCAACGACCAGGAAGAAACCAGACATCCAATTCTCCATAAAGTCTGGCATTGCCTTCTCCCTCGGAGCCTTTACAAAAGCAGTGTACTCATTAACTAGGACCAAATTATCAGGGCTTTATCTTATTGGCAGGTTATGATGGTAATGTTTGGGAAGACAGTCTCCCACACAATAGACTCAATAGGTGAACATGGTGAGCATGCTTGCTTAAGCAACTTCGTCATAGAAAGGTATAAAAGGAATAGCTACAAAATCACAGGAACCTTTATGAAACACAAATATCAAAATGGGAGGCCCTTTTTTTCCTTGACGGTACTCTATCTAGGTCTTCTGAAGGCCACGTTTCCATCTCTCTAACCCTCCCCTGACAAAGCCTGCACCCTTCCATCTACACCAGGTCAAAATAGCCATTGGCGCATCCAGGAGGAATTCAAATTGAGTTCCTTGATCTTTGAGTTGGGGAACAAAAAAGAAGCCTAAAGGAGCTGGCTGAATGAACAAAGGACCCTGTGAGAACAAGTTATGATAAAAGGACTCAGACTGGCTTTGTAAACACCTTACCCTCGAAGCCAGGCCCTACTGAACATGCCTCCACGGGACTGTACTTAGAGATAATACTGAAACATTCTGAGACATGCTGACCCAGAACTACAGCCAAGATAAGACCCAAGGACGAACCAAGGAACTAATTAGAAAGTTGCTTGACCATCTGCAGAGCGGCAACCCCTTCCGCTTTGAAATTGCCATTTAAAAAGCAGAAGTGTTCCCCTAGAAAACATCCTTTCTCAACTGTAAAGGGGGAGCCCCTTCACCCCCACCCAGAGAGCAAAGCGTTATCTATCCTTAACTCTTGAGAGGGACCCACATCCTTTCTTTTGTGCTTTTATAAAACTGTGGCTTCACTCTTTGAGGCTTTGTGCCTGTGTGTGAGAGTGCAGCTTTTATCTCTGAACTCTTTTTTTAATTAAATAAATCATTGGTGGATTTTTACCTATACTATAACAAACCATACATCCATTATCTTATATCTCTGAACGCAACAAACCAGGTTTGTTGCCAAACACAGGTCTGGAACTTTGGACCACACGTTGGATGACAGCCCAGGCCAAACTTCACAGGAGGGTGGATGGGGTAAGGTTCCCCAACAAAATTCCTCAGCACAATCCTTGCTACCCTCCAGAATGGACAGAGAGCACCATCCCAGTGGAGGGAAACACTTGCTTGGGGCAACTTTCCTGGCCTCTTGTTCACTGCAGTTTTCTCAGAGAGGAAGCCTCTGGTGGTACAAATGAGGAGCGCACTCAGCTGCTAGCCCAACTCCTCAAGGTTCAAGTCTTCCTGAAGCTCCTTGGAGGGAGAGCTCGGCAATCTGCTTTCAAACACTCTGTCGCTGAAAGCCTTGCGGAGCCCACTCCCACTCTGACACACCTAGGATACAGCTGTGGCTTAGAGTAATAACAACAGGGGCTTTATTAGTTTGAAGTTAAAAATGATAAAACATGCTGGTAGTGAGGGAAATAAGAGGGTTGAGAAATACTGAAATTCTAATCTTGTCGCATCAGTTCAGAGTCTTCAAGAGTCTTCAGCAAGAAAAGATATACTTAGTGAAGCAACCACTTTTCCTAGAGGGTTAGATTAACCCTTGCCACTGAGTTCAATCCAACTCAGAGTGGCCCCATCGGATAGTGTAGAACAACCATAGCTTATGAGTTATAGTCAATTGATATGGCCCTTCTAGCCAGAATTCCTTATGTGATGTATTAAAATTCTGGACTTGACACACCTGGGACTAAGATCCCATGCTGGAGGGCATTCTCTACTAACAAACAGGAAGAGGACGGGATTACCCTGACCTTAGTGGAGGGAGTGAATCAGACCACACTCTCTTTCCTTGATGGCACCTTTCAGATTCTCTTGGAACCTGGTAAGAACCAGGCCACATTCTTTGTTTTCCTTGAGTATACACTGGTGCTCTATACAATTCTACAGTTCATTCATCACCTTGCCCAGAAAGCCATCAAAGCACAGTCAGGAAACAGAGGCCTGTGGGGGAAAGGAAGTGGTGTTAACAAACCCAGGGGCAAGGGAATAACAAGCGATCCAAAATCAGTGGTGAGATAGCACCACTTTGTTTTCCTTGAATATGTACTGGTGCTCGATACAATTCTACAGTTCATCCATCACCTTGCCCAGAAAGCCAGGCCTCTGTTTCCTGACTGTGCCTTGATGGAAGCAAGAGGACCTGCTGTGCCTTTTGGACATGTTTGGCTTCTGGCTCACCCCACCCTGACCTTCAGATTTGGGACTGAACTGCCCCCACCACCACATGAGACAATTCCTCAAAGTTGTGTGAGATTCTGTGGAATGTTGCAGCAATATGCAGAATTGTAAGAGGCCTGGTAGGGCTTGATCAAGGGCGACATA